TATTTAACAAACATACATTGTTTCATTTCAATACGTTTCACTATAGTTTAGAACATACTAGCTCTCCAAGGTGTATTGTCTCATCCAAAAACTTAATTTCTTTAATTAAAATTTAAGAAAGATGAGAAAACTCTGACCAGAGCCAATGGGATCAATAACTGTTTAACTTGCAAAGAAAATCCTACCAACTCATCCTGGAATCTCTAGGCTGAAATGCACACAAGTGTGATAAACCAATAAAAAAGTTAATCCACCAATAAAATTAAATTAGGTTTTAATGTAATTAAAATTTTAAAAACAAAAGATTTAAAACAGAATAACATACATTTCTCCCCTCCCCTTTCTCCAATTTGACACTGCTAAGTTGGAAATGAGTCTGAAACTGATCTGTGGCCAAATGAAACTTCTTTTTGTGGTATTCCCCATTACTTTAATATACCAGAGGAATTTACATAACAAGCTAAAGAACAGAAATAAGAAATAACAGCTGCTTCAGTACCACCCATATTATCTACTAAGACCACAGTGTGAGCAACAGAATGTAGATTCATGGTAGCAGTTCCTTGAATGAAAGAGCTTACACAGAATCTTCCACAAACGCAAGTTTTTGCAGTATCCAAATCTTGGCAAAGATGGTAAGGAATGATATGAGAGCCATATGGAATCCTATTGGGAAAAAAAAATGTTTAAAAATATTTTGTTACTAGATTCAGAACTTTATGTATCAGAACTTAGGTATTACAACAATGATTTATAAGCAAGTAAAAATAAAATCATTACTGAAGTGACTCAGTATATTGTTTTATCTTCTCAAATGATAAGTGAAAAAAATATGCAGCTAAAAAGTAGCATATACTACATATCATGAAATCTAAGGTGATCTATGCTTCTCCACAAAGTATCTTTTAGTACAGTAAGTGACTACATTGGAAGAGTCATTTGTTCTTTATGTAATCATCTTGTATGACCACTTTAACAATTTAAATGTGTAACTGTCACATAATTTAAAAAATCTGGAAGCAGGGCCTGATTTTGACTTGGTAATGGGAAAATTATGAAATTTTAACTGTGAAGATGCATTTGTTTAAATAATTCCATGTACTCTCCTCAGCATCAATTGTTCAAAGGGGGCATTTTATATTCTATAAAACAAATTTAAAACACATGTTGTTTGGGTCACTAGTTTTACTTTACTGGCTGAGGAAATAAAGTTGACGTTACCTTGCTTAAATCATTTTACCCTCTGGCTTAAAACCCTTCAATGGTGCCAATGTAACTAAAATCAAGTCAAACTCTTTGCCATCTTCTACAAGATATTAAGAGGGCATCTCCTGAGACTTCTTGCACACTGTGTACCTCTAATCCTCCAAACACAACCATACCCCTGTCACTTTGTCTATCTCCCATATATTGATACTACCTTGTTCTTCGTTGTTTCTATGGTCCCTTGCATAGTCTGATGGTTAAGAGATACTCAGATATTTTTCAACAAATAAATAACCTATTCTTACAGAGTTTAAAATGGTCAGACAAGTCTGAACAAGAACACATCCAACCATTCAGCACTACAGATTCTTTTTCTGCTGAGTTGTACCTTGCCTATTATTCATTATCACATTTTGTTCATCTATTTTTATCTTCCAGCTTCACATTTTTCCCTGTTGGGTATCAGCCTGTTTTTACCTATTTAGCCAATTTCTCACAGTCTTTTCAAATCCTTGAAAAATGTTTGCATTTCTCATTTGGACATAGTTTTCACATGTGAAGATGTGCATTATTTCTTCATATTTAAGATTCAGGGAAAGCACAGAACAAAAATCTCAGAAGCAATAAATTGCAAAAGACACTATTCAGAGTTCCCACAAATCAGTGGTCTTCACCTGAATCATCAATATCACCTCTGGAGATTTTTAAATTATACGTAACGTATGATAGGAGCCCATCTCTGGAGAATGTGAACTAGCTGGTCCGAGGTGGGATACAGACAGCTATATTCTCATCTGTCTTATTTAAGGCTCTTCCACAGCTAATAACACCATTCACTGATTGATTTTTAAGTGTCAGATAAGCAAATTACATGTATTTATACATCCAGTAATATTGAGACCTTTTATGCACCAGGCACTGTCTCGGCACCTACACATATTGTATTTGTTAAGAGTCAATGCCTTAAACCAGTGGTTCTGAGAGTCCTTAAATAAGTGGTCCTCTGACTAGCAGCATCAGTATCACCATCACCCAGGAATTTGTTAGAAATGCAATTTCTGTGACCCCCCTCTCAACTCCAAACTCACCATCAGGAATAGAGTCCAACAGTTTAACAAGTATTGTGATTTTTTAAAAGATTTTAATTTTGTTGTTAATATACATAGCAAAAATATACACCAAGTTTCTACATGTACAATTCAGCAACACTGATTCTTTGAGTTGTACAACCATTCTCAGCCTTTTCTGAGTTGCTCCTCTCCATTAGCATAAACTCACTGCCCGCCCTCCCCCACAAGGTTCCTTTCTAATCTTTTGAGTTGCTATTGTCAGTTTGATCCCATATAAATAGATCTTAAAATTTCAAAATGCTCAAGGCAGGTATCCTTTACTAGTTAAGCTAAACTACTGTTTGATTTTAAAAAGACTACAGTGATATTTTGGTTTAAGGTTTAATGATTATCTTAGGGCAATAGTTTAGAAGTTCATTGAACCTCCATGGCTCCAGAAAGAGTAGATTCTATGAGAATCTGAAATTCTGCACCACATTTTTCCCTTTAGATCAGGAGTCTTCTAAAAAGTCTGATCAAAATGTTCAACAGTGGTAGCCAGACACCATCTAGTTCTCCAGGTCTCATGGTAAAGGAGGTAGAAAACAAGCATTGTGTTTTAGTAAGTGTGATACACTACCCAATTAGAAAATTACTGACTTAAATAGTGAGTCCTTAATTATTTGTAGGTCCTTAGTATTCCAAGTGTCATCAATGGATTAGTAGCCTGAGCCTCACATGGAAGTTTGTTAGAAATGCAGAGAGACCTCTGAGACAGAATTGGCTAACAAGATTCCTAGGTGATTTGAATGCCTGTTAAAGTTTTACAAACACTAGTGCACAGCAGGAGCTCTGGTAGCATAGTACCTAAGGCACTTGACTGCTAACCAGAAGGCTGGTGGTTTAAACCCACCAGCCACTCCTCAGAAGGAAGATGGGGCAATCTATTTCCAATCTACTCCGTAGTGATACTGCCTCAGAAACCCAAGGAGGGGTCACTATGAGTCGGGTCCAACTCGACAGCACATAACAACAATATACAGCAGTGGTTCTCAATACTAGTTAGCTATATATTAGAATCGCCTATGAGGTTAAAAACAAACCTGGGTCCTACCCTCAGAGATTCTGGATCATTAGAATTTTCAGAAAGTTCTCAGGTGATTCTAAGCATGACATAAAATTTGCAAATCATTGATTTAGAATAAGAGTTCTTATCTTTGGGATGGGAGCTCTGTTAGCATAGTGCCTAAGGCACCTGACTGCTAATCAGAAGGCTGGCCGTTCAAACCCACCAGCCACTCCTCAGAAGGCAGATTGGGCAATCTACTTCTGTAGTCTTAGTGTCTTGGAAACCCAAGGAGGGGTCGCTGTTGAGTTGAAAACGACTCAATGACAGTGAGTTTGTTTTTTTTATGTCAGTTTTTTTATAAGAGCTTTCCTTCCCCCCCCCCGCAAGAGTTGACTCTTTTTTGAAATACATTTTGACAATTTTATAGGCACTCAATAATAATTAGATTCACATCCAAGCTTTCACTCCTATATGAAAGAAGCATGAACAAAATGGAATAACTGGAGTTCTGTATCTCATGAAATCAACTGCAGTTATTGTTCAAAGGCTGGGGGAAGAGAACAGCTACTGAGTCCCACATTACATGCCAAATGCTTTGGCACACATTAGTTCACTTATCCTTACAACAACTCTGTAAAGTGGTTATTACTGTTTCTGTTTCACAGATGACAAAATTGAATCACAGTGTTTAAGTAACTTACTAAATCACAGTATACAGTAAGGAGTGAAGCCAGGAATTAAACCCAAGGCTGACTCCAAAGCCTACACTCTCTTTACCATGCCTGCAGTTCTAACTTTAGGGTACATCAGAATCACCTGGAGTGCTTATCAAATCACAGCTTGGCTCTAGTTCAAAAGGTTCAGATTCCATAGGTGTGGGATGCAGCCCAAGAACTTTCATCTCTAACAATTTCCTAAATGATACTGATACTGCTAGTTGGGGGATCATACTTTGAGAAATAATGTACTAGGTCATTCATTCATTCAAATATTTATGGACTGCCTAAATATATGCCAGGAGCAGGGGACACCACATTTTACACCCTAGGGAAACAGTGGTGCACAAAACGAAGTCCACACCCTCATGGATATTACATTCTAGTTGGAGAGAATGGAAAATAAACAAATGTTAAAAAAAAATCTAATGCTAAAAGAAATTAAATATTCAGTAAGTGCACAGTTTTTTGCAATTCCAAATATATATAATAAGTCCTATGACAAAAAAATAAGATGATATAAGGGGTAGGGGACGAAACTTTAGATAGTGTAGTCAGGTAAAGCTTTCTAGGGTGACACTTGGGCAAAAACTGAATGAAGGAGAGAGTGATCTACGGGACTTTCTGGAGAAGGATGCTATGCAGAGATAAGGAATAGCAAGTGTAGCCAGGGTCAGATTGTGTACAGCACTGTAAACTGTAATAAAGACTCTGAATATTATTTTGAACATGATGAAAATACCATGTTATCAAAAGCACTACATTTTATGACTACTAAAGTCTTACCTATTATATAATATGGTTCGTGCAGAAGATTCCAATAAAGTTAATGGTGCTTGCAGCATTATGACTGGTAGAACTTTTGGTTGTTCGAACTTATTTCCAAAAAGATCCAAGTACTCAAGGGATAAATTTTTAAATTCACTAGGCAAAAAGGGAAGCTTATTTCGAGCTGCTGACAAAAAACGCAGTTTTTTCAGTTGTCCCATCTTGAAAGGAAATCGGATTAGTTCATTATCATCAAGTTTTAAGTCCGTAAGTTCTCGGAGCTGGCAAAACTGCACAGGGAGTGCCTTAATTTTGTTCTTGCTGAGGTCCAAACGCCGAAGGGACTGCTGGAGTGTAGACTGACACAAGGCTGCACTAAAGGACTCCAAGTGATTGTCATTAAGGTTAAGTTCTTGAAGGTAGATGAGGTCTCCAACTGTAGCTGGAAGCTTTTTTATATGGTTGTGGCTTAAGTCTAATTTCCTAAGGTTTTTTAAGCAAAGCATACGCATATCAACTCGGACAAGCCCGCAATAAGAAGTCTGAAGATGTTCCAAAGAATATGGAAAGTTCTTGCTTAGAGGATAGTCCTTTTTGGAAGTGATAATCATTTTGGTTTTAAATTTCTCAAATTCTGAAGTCTTCACTGGTGTGAGGGTTAAAAATGGGGTCTCAATATCACAGCCTCGATGAGCCAGTCTCACAGCTGAAAGGAAACCCTTTAAACTGCTGGAATTGGCCTAAATAAATCAAAGTAAATGTTGCAATTATGAATTTCATTTCAGATAATGCATGCATAGTAGTTCTTCCTATAAAAAATTCTTTGATTATATATATCACTCCAAAGTAATACAATCATTTATTGAAAATGGCTATAAAAAACCAATTTTTTAGTATTTGGACTAAATTTCAATATAGTTATAAAAAAATTGTGAAGTTTCTGAAAAAATTATGTTGACAGATGCACTGTTCAAAGGAGGAACCAACATTGTGAATAAAGTAAGACAGGCACATATTAACGAAGTTCCACATAAGATTTGGGTTTAAGGAGAATTGATTCAAATCTCCAGTGCCTCCAAGATATACCACCCATGCTGTGCAGTGGAAAATTCCGATGGGATGGGTGCCATTCACCAAGATTAGGAGTTGTGCAAAGTGCTTGCTCTGTCTAAAAGTCACCTTCTAGCAATGTCAACTTCATTCATTTATCAATCCATTCAATAAATATTGAACACCCACCATAAGCAAAATACTATGCTGGGCAGAGTGTAGTATACAAAGATGAAAAGCAGAAGGACATTCTTGAGGAAGACATAAGTAGGAGAGTTAAGACATATACACAAATGATATTCATTGGAACGAATTCAAAGTCAAACAAGAGGTTCTAACAGAGTAATAGAAAATGTCAAAGGTAAGGGATATGGCTTCCAGACAAATCACCTTAGAGAGAAAGTGAATATGAACCAAGTCATCAATAAAAATAGCTAATATTTGTAGGATATTTTACAGTTCCCTAAAGTTTACATGTGAAGGATGAGTGAGTTTCAACAAGTTTGGGAAATTAAATATGTGGTCCTACGTGGTTTGAATGTAGGAGCTTTATAAGGGAGTAAAAGGATTGGAAATACAGTGTGGGGTTAAACTGTAGATGAACTTGAATGTCAAGGTAAAAAGGAAGAAACGATCAGGTAGGCTGTGGGAAATCACTGAAGAATTCTGAGCATCAGAATTACATGACAAGAGCTAAAATATTATTTTGGCAGCAGTGTATATGGCAAATTAGAGTGGGGAAGGTCTAGAGACCTGGGTAAAGTAGGGGGTTCCTGCTTACAGACTTGGGAGTCACCCACAAGAAAGGCAGAAGCTAAGGGGACTGGAAGGCAAGTACAGAAGAGAACAGGCAGAGAGAATCAGAAGTAAGAAAAAGACTGTCAGGGATAGAACACCAAGGAGTGGCTGAGAAAATTCAAAGTGAACCAGGATAGTGCCCTTTCACAGAAACCAAGGAAGGAAAAAGTTTTATTGAGAAATGGGTGGTCATCAGTGTGAAATTCCACAGAAAACTAAAAATGGCAATTTGATTGGAAAACAAGAAAATCACTGATCTTTTAGGTCGTATTTTGAATAAACCAGTGAAAATGAAGGTCAAAAGAGATAATAAGAAAGCACAGACATGGCATGTAGCTTTATCATTCCAGAAATTTGTGTATTTTATGTTAATTTTTTAAATGAACAAGACCTCAGCATGTTGTTAGGCAGAAGGAAGAAGTTAGTGGATGAACAGGATGATCAAGAGAAAATGAAAAAACCCCAAAAGAAAAAGAGGAATGAAAAATGATTCCATTTCAATTCTAACTCATTAAATAGTTACTAATGTTTTGTAAAACACTCTACTTGGAGTTAAGGATAATTCAAGGTTGAAAAAACACACTGTTCCTACCTTCTAGGAAGGGGAAAAAGGAGAAGAGGACACAGGGCAAGGAAAATAATTTTTTTTTTTAATGGTTTTTGTATTTTACAAATTGAGTATAGTAAATATAATGAAAAAAAAAAAAAGATGGTTCTAATTACATTTTACCTTTTTTTACATTTCTAATCTGTTGTTTGCTGACAACAAGGCATTGGACTGTGTTGATCATAAAAATGCCTTGTAGAGTTCTAGTTTTAGAAAACCCTAAGGCTCCATGTTGGGCACAGAAGCAAACTTAGCAGTTTCTCTCCCTATCCTGGGCAGCTGACTCTACCCTTCTGCGAGGCGAATAAGCATACTTGTTCTGGGAAGCTGCCTCTTCTGCCATGCCCTCTTCAAATAGACCTTAAAAGTCCATTCTTACTTGGCCATGTGGGATTGCACTATGCTCAGCCTTCTTTAAAGAAAATACAGTCAAGCAACCTAGCAGTCCATGTTTCTAATACCATACCTGACTTAGATAGATATCCACAGGAGGCTCCTTTAACCGGACAGTCGCTTTCCCCTCATCCACAAATTTCGTAAAGAATTGCTCAATGTTCTCCTTTAGCTGATAAAAAGTAATGGAAAAAAAAGGCAAAACTAAGTATTGTTATTCAATAACATTTATTACAACTAAAACATGCCACTTTGCTAGCTTTTGGTTTGCCTTTGAGTTCTTAAGTCTGAGTGTCTTACAGTTTGTTTGTTTTTTTTAAGCAGTTGGATAGTTACACCCCATATTAGCTCACAATGAATGTTTTTGTTCTCTGTCCAGTAACACCTTCCTCTTCTAGGCACAGAATCCCCTGTTGGGGAGAATCCCCTCTCCTCCCATACTAGTTACTTTAGTTACTTTGCCTTCATAACCTCAGGCAATCAATCTGGGGTGGGGACACCTCCTTCTAGATCATAAAATTCTATTTCAACTTTCAAAAGCAGGAGTCTGTCCCTCTTGTTCACTGTTATATTCCCAGAGCTGGCAAAGTAACTGACAAAGTTACTGTTAAAAAGATTTTGAAGGAAGTAAACTGCTAAATTTGCTTCTGTGCCCAACATGGGGCCTTAATGACTGCTTTGGACTCCAACTATTTATTTAAGAAGTCACTGTGTATCAGGTACTTGGGTTTGGGACATAGTGGTGAATAAGACTGGCATGGTAACTACATTTAGAGTTCATAATCTGATGAGAGAGAATTCAACAAGTCATTTCAAGTGTTATAAGCACAGACTTCTGTAAGACCATTTATAGCAAGAAATCTTACCTAGTCTTATGAGTGCACCGGTGATCTTAAAGGTGGTAAACGAAGGATTAGAAATTAGGCAAGTGAAGAAATAGGGGGAAGGGGGAGGGACTAACATTTCAGTAAGAGTACAAAGTACAAAGTCCTGAAGGCAAAAGAGAGCCTAGCAGCTGAAAGTTCAGTAATGGATAAGGGGTCCGGTGAATAGAGGCAGGTGAATCTGGAGAGGTAGAGACTAAATGGTGAAAGATTTTGTAAACTAATTTAAGAATTTTTAAATTTTATCTTGTTGTTGTTGTTATGTGCTGTCGAGTTGGACCTGACTCATAGCAACTCCTCCTTGGGTTTCCGACGCAGTATCGCTACGGAAGTAGATTGCCCCATCTTTCTTCCGAGGAGTGGCTAGTGGGTTTAAACTGTCAGCCTTCTGGTTAGCAGTCAAATGCCTTAGGCACTACGCTACCAGAGCTCCCAATTTTATCTTAAGAATGAAATCCATTGACCATATTAAGGTGGGGAACATAAGATCCCTTTAACGGCAATGTGAAGAATAAGCTGGAGGAGGGGAGCATGGGATGAGAGAAGAACAGTAAAGGTAGGAAGATCCTTTAAGAGACTAGCCAGGCAAGGAATGATGGTGGCTTAGATAAGTTTTTCACATTATGTGGCGAAAATACGTGAAACTGTTCACTACAGATGAGTAAGCACAGGTAAGCTCATGAGCTTACCTGTGCTTAGCAGGCACTCTGCCCAGCTTGTAAATTTGAAAAGAGACTTTGATTCTGTAGGAAGGTGCTGTGCGGTGTGGATAGAGACAGATTCCAGCCATACCTAGAAGCAGAATCTTTGATGTGGTTTAAAAAAAAAAAAAAAAGTGATTCACTACAGATCAGTAAGTAAGCACAAGTAAACGGATGCTTACCTTGCTTATAGGGTAATATGACATTGGTTTGGACTGACAGAAGCATACACATCTGAAAGATATTTAAAATTAGAACTGAAAGGATTTGATGATACATTGGATGCTGGAGCTAATACCTTCAGGCTTCTGGACTGAGGTGCTAATCAATGAGCTACAGAACACTGCAGAAAAGCAGGTTTAGGAGGAGAAAGGATCATTAATTTTCAGATATTTGGAGTTTGAAATGCTGCAGCACATCCAGGTGAAGATTTTTTAGAGAATAGATTCAAGTCTGAAGTTAAGGGAGAGAACAGCCTAAAGTTGTAGACTGATAATGGTAGCTGAAATCATGAGACAGAAAAATAAAGCGTGGAAGAGTCTCAGGCACTTCCCACTTTTACCACTGATACCTACTCAAGGTCCAGGTCCAATACCACCTGAATTCAGCCAACAAATGGTTACTGAGCACCTACTATGTCTCAGGCTCTGTGGCACCACCTCCTCTACAAAGCTTTTCTGTAGTCACTCTAATCAGAATTTATCTTATTCATTGATGCTCCACTAAATAGCACTTTGCTTCTACTGTTATTACAACACTTATCATAGCCCAGCTTGTACTATAAGTACTAGTTTCTATTTCTCCTTTTCTAATCTGTGAACAGCAAGTAAATCAAGTCTGTATCTCTCACAGTTTCTAGCACTGTACTCTGCATATGGTAGGTCTTCAACCAGGAGTTTATAGTAAAATTTTGGGTAGGATTCCCAGCAGCTATTGAATATTAGTGCAGTTTAAGTTTTTTTTTTTTTT